GGGACAGAACAATTTGAAAGCTAATCTAGCCTTGGATGAATATTTCAGGCAATTCTAGGGTTCAAATGGAGAAGTCAGAAAATCCCACAGAAGCATCATAGTAAATAACGAATAATCTGCATTATTATAGAAATACAAATCCTGCTGTAGAAGAAGAAAATGATTGTGATAGTTATGGGCAAGTTGTTATTGACACTGAACAATGACAACCCTTCCCTCCTGATAAAAGATAACTTTGGAAGCAATACTACAGAAAGCATTCAGTAATGAATAAATAAGCTGCAAAAATAAATAAAGATCTGGCTTTACATACAATTAGAAAAAGCTAAGGACAGGACAGAGTTCTATCACTCCCTTGGTTTTTTTGTTTTTTTTTTTAAACAAACTTAGATCAGAAATGTTCTCTTTCATGGCTATTAATAGTATCCCTGGAAATTGCTTAAATGTAAACCATTACCAAATGTTGCTTTGCAACAAGGTATCCCATTCTATTTTTGTCACTCAATTTGAGCACCAGATTCAGTAAGATTCCATTGTCAAATTCTGAGATATCTTTGGGCCTGTTGGGTTTTGCTGAACACATACCAGTCTACTACACCATAACGAAATTACGCAGTTTTGAAGCAGGATTAGCTAAATTTTCAAAATTGAATGCAGAAATCTAGATGGGAAGGATTGTTCTACCAAACTTTGTTGAAATGTGATATTTATATTGAAAGCAACGATGTTGGTTTTGAAAATTAACTGACATTTGTGACAGAAGTGTTTCTCTAAAGACTTCTGAATGCTGTTAGAACTGAATGCTGTTCTTTTATTTCTCTTCTTCTGAAATGTGGTCAAACTAAACAAGCTAAAATTGATGCAAAAACAGATGGTTTGTTCTACAAACTGAAGTTTGCTTGTGTGGCCTTGACAAAGTCCTGATATATTTCAAATCTATATTGGGGTTGCAAGTAAAAGAAAATGTTTTTCATATACAACAATACCTCAATTTTAAATCAATCCCATTTATCTGAAGTTTCAAATGTCTAATTTCTGTTATACGTTTACATAAGTCAAAACAGTGACTTGTTGCACTTTTGTTTAACTGGATAAAAGCAATGCATTGTCCCACATTACAAGTTGCTCAAAAGAATATTAGGATTAGAACCAACTTCTAGTGAGCAAGTGCTAATATGGAATACAGAGACCTCTGTGTTAATAGTTTCAAGTGTAGTATAAAAATATCCTCTCCACTTTTATGACTATCATTGCTCTTAATTTCTATATGATGTAAGCATTAATCCAAGTTTACTTCAATTCATTGTTTTTCAAGAAAGAATATAGCATCATTACACTACACCCGTGATGGTGAACCTATGGCAAGCATGCCACAGGTGGCACGCAGAACCATTTGTGCGGGCATGTGAGCCCCTGCCAAACTTACCTGCACTGAGCATGCGCGCACCTCCCAGCTGATTTTCAGGCCGCTTGAGGCCATTTTCGCCCTCCCAGAGGCTCGAGAGAAGCCTATGTAGCCTCAGGAGGCTGAAAACAGGCACTTTCGGTATGCCCGCTTTCGGCACACTACAACAAAAATGTTCACCACCACGGCAATACACTATTAGCACAGGGGAATAATTCTGGAAAACTAGAATGCTTATTAGTATAAAAAAAGCTGTTAGCCTCACATAAATAGCATCTGTAGATTTGTTTCAATGTGTTTGTTTTTTCCAGGAAAAAAAGCACCACCACTGAACTTTGGTGGCCTTCAGTAGGTGTACTGTACTTGACACCAGGATTGTGTTTTTGGATTGTAAAATGTTTGTCCACTAGAATCTAGAGAACAATCAAGAGTAATTGATAAGATAATATACAACAAACATACAATTGAGCATAAAGTTGCCTCCAAACACAGGCTAACATAATTGTTTCAAAGAAACTGCCACCCCATCTGTTTTGTCCAATTTATCTTCATTTCAGAAATCTTGATTAATAAAGATACTTTCTATTGTGTTAGGTGGGAGGGGGCAGGCAGATTATCAGCTATTTCCCTTGCTTTCACTCACAGCTTTATCTTCACTAAATTCAATTCTCTGATTAGCTTAAATACTAATTTAGCACTGACGTATGGACTTTTCTATAGAGCTGCTGTGTTTTTATGGTGGCTAACTGATATGTATGCCTTTGTGGAACATCAATTAGTTTAGTTACAATGCAAGACTTTTCATTTTAAATACTTTCAAAAGCAGTACTGGACAACATAATAATCCCTTCACTTTCAAACCCGAATTGCCCCCCATATATTTTTAAGCTTCAGTATCTTCTGGGATAAAACAAACAGGAAAATCTGTTACTGTAATTACTGTAATATCAGGTGGCAGTTTGAATTTCCAGTGTTTTAATGTGACAGCATTTCTCATTCTGCCGATGGGAGAAATGATACTGCATCTAATTATTTCTAAGTGGTTAAACTTTAATGTGATAAAGGAGTTACCTTACTTGTTTGTAACATTAGTGTGCTATAAAATATAACCAGATTAAAAACTGAGTGAGGGAGGAAAAAAGAGAAGGATGCCTAGAATTGGAATATTTTCATTTTATATTATTTTTGGATACTGGAAAACATTTATTAGTTTTTTGAATGTGTGAGCATTTTTCAGCTGGAGATGTATAAAATAAAAATACAGTTGAAGTATCCAAAATAGAATGTTTCCTAGAAAATTAAGGTGACAATAGCCAATTATCTCCAGGATTTTGAAAACAAAAATATTTGGAAATTCACATATACTGCTATGAATTTTCAAGTCTATTTTTTCTTTAGTAATGAAAGACTCCAAGCAGGTAATATCAAAGGAAACTGGCACCAATTTAAGTATTTTTAATTTTCTTACAACCACTTAAAACGGTCATGAAGTACCACAAAATTATATACATTCATTTACAGAACAAGTCAAATAATCTAAAATATTTTAAAACCCTTTACCTGATGCACCTAGGCAACAAAGGTGCTTCAGTAGACATTTTATGTGCATATCTTCTACTTTCAAAATTTTACCCTCAGTTCACACACACGCACACACATATATATTAATTAAAGTAAAAATACAGCAAGCAGAAAAGACAACACAATATACATCTGTAATCTTTAGAGCAAAGCAGAAAAGTGCATGTCCAATGAACTATTACAACTAAGAAATATGCTGGCAGTACCTGCCTTAGAGGCTCTTTCAAGAGGTTTTGATTGTCTATGAACATTAAGGGAACAATCAGAACAGAAGATGTGTGCACAATGGGTGAAAATTAAAATAGCAACCAGGGAAGCTGATGAATACAAACCTTCAGTAATATAAGGTATATAAGGCTCCATAGGGCAAACAAAGGGATACATTTTTCATTCCCCAAAATCATTATTTTAAATCAATCATATTTTTGTGAAGTTCCAAATGTCTAGGGATTCCAGATTCTAGCCTTGCACAGGACAAATAGTGGAACTTTGAATTTATTAACTGAAGGAAAGCAAGTTGCTTTCCTGCATGGAATTTGGTTTTTAGTTTTTTAAAAAGAATTGCTTAAAAGAATATAAATAATAGAACCTATTTCTATTAAGCAAGTACTTACGAGGTGTAAACACTGTGTGCTGGTGCTTCCCCAGTGTTGATAATTTTTAAACATGATATAAAAAAGAATTCACATTCATGGCCTTCAGTATACAATCCATTTGTTATAAATCCAAGTTAAGGGAAGGGGGTTAGATTGCTGCACATGCAACAAATACCACTGAATTACAGATACAACATAGTTTTTAAACTAGTTTTATCCTTTCAAAATCCATTCTGACCTCTTACCCTTAAGGCTGCCTTCAAATATAAAGGTCATATTTATGGATATTTTGGGGAAACTTTAATACCAACATAAGCACCTGGAATATAGTGAAATTTATACCAGTGAGGTTTCCAGGCAATGTCAGTTTCTTTGTGCTTAGCAACTATTGGGTATTCTAAAAATTTTCATAGCAGACAATTATCTAGACAAAGCCAAAAATGGCTTTTAAAGACCTTCATTTAAAATGAATTTTATATCTGCTAAAACATTTGGCAGTACATCTTGAGTGAATTCATACAGTGTTATAGTATTTACAGAAAGAAACAAAATGGCTGATATCCTGACTTTAGACTTTACATTTTGGCAAATGTATTTTTCAAAAACCTTTTATTCAACTCTTCTTAACTGATAAAGTTTGGCCGGTAATAACAAAAATAAAAAATAAAAATCTCTGTACCTTGGAAAATTGTGTGCTCAATTCAGAAATTACATATGAAATATTGGATTGCTTTCTTTTCCCAAATCTTTAGAATAATAAAAATGGCAACTACAGAGAATAAAATTACAAAAAAAATATTTTGCACATTAGTCAACTTCAAAAAAGTAGCTTGTGTTTTCAGAGGCTAAATATTGGTTTTTTTTAATCTCCCCAAATTTTAAAGTGTTTCCTCAAGACACCAATCATGAGAAAATCTATATGCTGCCAGTTTCTAGTAATTTTTAATACGCTTTTTCTACAGCAATTAGCACCAGAGATCTGAAAACTATGTTTACCTTTCTACTCTTCTCTGCTTTAGGTAAATATTAACACAGGCCTTGAAACCAACTTAATTTTTCCTAGCTAGAATGTCACTGGCTTTGTAAAAATATACAATGTTATCTAACTTTGCAGACTTTCCTTAATTTTAATATTCCAACAGGCTTTGAATGTTGAATCAGTAGCAAAGCAGGTAAGACTGGCTAACTCATCAGGGCAGTAACAGGAAAGAGATTAAATTATATCTTACTAAAACCCAGATAATATTTCAGAACTATATAGAATATTTTACAGATTGTGTTAAACCTTTTAAACTTTAATCCACAAGACATGCTTGAATTGGCCTCAAGAAATGAAATATATCCATTTCTCACATGTTGCATAGAAATGACTCATTCAAAGTAACAAGTAATGAAAAGCATCTTTTTTTGGAAATAGAACAAGACTGGAATGTCAGCCTATAAATATAACCTAAATAAGCCAGCATCTATTTTACTGGCATTCAAAGTATTACTCACAGCAATATATGGCATATGAAAGCTTTACTTGAAAAACCCTGAAAATCTTAAACATACAAGTTTTAACACATGAACGTATTCCAATTGGAGCTAATTAAATAAAACAAGAATTATATTGAGCCTGATTTTTTTTTTTTTACAAAAAACCCCAATATTCTTTCTGATGCCAAACAGGCATTTATACTTTCACACACATGCATGTTCTTACAAATAATGGAGTATCTGAATAGCACTAATTTCAATGTACAAAATCTAATTGCAAACTTGGCCCACATGTCCAGTTACATAACATTTCATGTATTAAACCTACTTTGACTGAAACCTGAAGCATGAAATCATTCTATCTCTACTTTAGGATTCCATATACTTAAATAAGTTATGAAGAAATTTCTTTCAAGATACCACATTCTGTCTCTTCCTAAAAGTATTCAATATGCCCTGCAACATGACTCCAGCAAGTCACCAATGCTTTGATCTAACTTGAATACTCAATGGCTGAAGTCACAATTTATGTTTGTAATGGGTAGAAATGCAGAAACTGCTCTGGTCCTTCTAGCTTCCATAAAACTTAGTTTGTTCCTGAAGTTGTGGGTAGTAGCTCTTTGTATTAGATCAGCATATTAAGCTGATGAATTCAGCTGACTTCTCTGTATGTTAAACAAACCAAACTCATCTCCTAATATGTATGTATAGCATGCAAACTATGCCACAATTTTTCTTCTGTATATACTTTTAAGAAAATCCTTTGGGTGCATTTACAAACCTGCAACAAATAAGTGAAGAAATTTAGTTATTTGAGAACTGGAAGGAGCTCTGCGTTTCAATTCATTCTTCTAAGGATGCTAGTTCAGTTTTTTTCAGCAAATAATAATAAGACCATGTAATTTTCCCTAAACAGTACATATTTTCTAAAAAATATTTCTGGTGTGTGGCAATATTTCTGTGCAACTTTAGCTTATCCATAGCACATAGCATATTTTAATATCCACAATTTCTAAGTTTTCCATCTCTACTTTTATCTGCAACATGACAGGCACAATCTCCACTATCAGTATTTCTCCATAATAAAGAATGCTACTTCTTCAGTCTGTGACTATCTGGTAGCTGCTAAAGGCTATGATTCTGTCAGGACAGTAGAAAAAGAGGGGCATTCATAATTTAAATACAGAAAAGTCAATAGCTGGATCATTCTTTAACTTGCCTTGTAGCCTTTTTTGGTTTTAGAGGTAGAGAGCAGGCTCTAAAATAAAGGTCAGAAAGAAGCTGCAGTTTCACTTTTAAGCTTTTGGCCACACCACGTATCTTGGCAAACAGCTAGTCTACTTATTTAAATTATCTTCAAGACTGAAGGAAAAAAAAAAAAAAAGAGGACGGTCATTCAGCAAGCAGCAAAGAGATGCTCATTTTCTGCATTCCTTTCCGCATGCTGTAAATTCTGTCCATACCACACCTGGAGGATTTTTTTTTTCTCCTCGTGAAAGATATTTAAATCATCTTTTATTCATAAAAAAGCCCTGATGTACAGAATGAGTAAGTACTACTTTTTTAAGCCAAAAGACAGCTGCAAAGATAGTTAGGATTGCATTAATATTTTGCTCCAAGTATTTTCCCCACTCAAAGTGCAAAACTGTAAAGCCAGTTCATAAGCAGTTTCCATCTATCCCTTCTTGGTTCTTCCTGCTGAAAGAAAAGCAGGTTACTGTAATTGTGCTTCAAAGTTTCAGGTTCCTCTTATCTTCCTCCTGTTTTAGTTGGCAAACTGCTGGTAGAAGGCAAATTTAACCCTTTCAATGTGATGGCAAAGTTTAATGGCTGGGCCAAGTTTCAAGTCCATGCACTCCTGAACCGTGGGAAGAGTGAGCAAGAGAAGTGCCTGCCCATCTATTTCCTATCAAAGGAAAAGGAAAAAATAGCAGTTAGCATTAAAGGAAATGAGTGGGTTTTTTCCCCAAATAATTTAAACATTTCATTAATGCATTACAGATAGTTGCAGAGTTATAAATGTAATGGAGCCTGCCCATTCTATTCCTCACCTGAGCATTCATAGGAGTGAATTGCATAATTTGAACATGATCACTCTCTTCTTTTGCCCACGCATTCGCGAATCAAATGTGCAGCTCATTAAATGCACATAAGGTATGTCGGTGGGAAGGCCATGGGTGGCCTAATGACGGAAAGCCACCTGCTTCAGACCACCAAAGGCCTCCAACCCACTAAGATACCTCATTCTTCCTCCCCAGGGATTCCCACAATTACTCTCCCTGCATCCTGCCATGCCAGGTCACTTATCTTATGAAGATCTGTCTCCTGTCCAGGCGCTCTGTTTCTTTGCCTGCTCCCTCCTTTGTCATCGGCAAAGTGCTTGATGAAGCCTTCAGTGACGAAAAAAAAGGTGCGGAGGGCCGCATGCACCCTTCCAGGCCTTTCTCCCTGCCAAATCTCTAGACTTCAGCAGCCCTTTGCAAAAAGCCTTTGCCAGCAGGAACAGAGCTTCAGAAGGACACACCCACATCCCTCCCAAGCTCTGATGGTGCCAACAAAGGCAAAGGACTGCCAAAGCCTACAGGGACGCAATCTCTCTGCAGGCTTCAGCAAGGAAACGGCAAGGCCTGGAGCTTTCCCTCTGTTTGTAATCATCCAAGCCTCAATTCACAGAAAATAGACGCCTAAAGTGCGAGATCAGACGAGATCAGTAGCATGAGATCTTGTGCTAGTGATCTCTCATGATCTTGCGGTACGTTAGGCCTCTGTTCTCTGAAATCCTGAAGCAACGAAGCAAGCGTAGAAACCGTGACAGAGAGGAAAACTCAAGGTAGCTGAGTCTCCAGAGGCGAAATGCCTGTGAAGACCCAGCAGGAGGTGAATAGGCAGGGTGAATGTTGCAGAGGCTCTGTGGTCATTTGTAAGGGCAACCAACTGTCGTGCTGCAAGATTTGTAATTTCTGGACTTGTTTGTAAATGCTAGGGGGTGCTTATGGTGTAACTTTGAACATTGGCTAAGAGAACGTTCATTACTCAGGGATTACCTGTATAAACAAATAACACTTTGGTGAGAAACTAAACTGGATGTAAGGAGAGGAATAAAAAGAACAAGAAAGAAAAATAGATATGATATCAATATAAAATTAATTCAATCCTTCACCTGTTAAATTCAATATTAGAAATACATTGCTTTATCAGATAGTCTTTTCCTTTTTACAATATAGCCAATTCTCATTTAGTGACTATTCTCTATGATGACAATGATGAAAAAAAGTAATGCTATGATCAATCCTTGTTTTTATGATCTTTGAAGATCTGTAAAGCAAAGCTTAAGTAAGATCATAAGCAGTCATGATTTTATTTAGTGATCGCTTCACTTAATGACTATGAGGCATGGTGGCTTAATGACACTGGAGATGGGTCTCTGTTCCAGCGGTTCTAGTCCTACCACTGCATGGCGGGATGAGGTCACATTACTTGCCTCAGCTTTTGCCTACCTTGCAGTTTGAAAGCATGTTCTATGGAAGTAGATAAATGGTACTATTTCTGTGGGGAGACAAGTTAGTGCTCTGTGCAGGTAGTCAAATTCCTGCCAGCTCTGAACCTTCCCGGTTTTGACGCCTGTTTACGAGGTGGTTCCGGAGAGGGAGCTTAAGATGCTGCTGCAGGAAGAACCACTCATCTTTCTCTGGTGCGAAGCTAGCTCACCCTCTTATGGCACACCGTGGGAAGCGCGCAAGTGTGTACCTAACAGAGCTGGTAAACAGGCAGCCAAACTAGTAATCTGCAATAGTATTGTAGACTCCTAGCTAATGTAACAATGCCATACTTTAATAATAATAATAATACTTTAATGGCTGACTTCTCAATCCCAAATATAGATAATAAACAAGAATGTTATAAGAGCATTTCAGAAATTGATAAATAACATTCCAATCTATTCCCTATCATTATGAGTATAAATTTCTTCCCATATTTGCAAAATAGATGGAAGGCTTTAGTCTAATCCAGTGTATCTAAGCCTTGACACCTTTAAGATGTGTGGACTTCAATTCACAGAATTCCCTAGCTAACATGCTGGATGGGGAATTCTGGGAACTAAACATATCTTAAAGATGCCAAGGTTGAGAAACACTGGTCTGGTCACTTCATAAATACCATGTGCATTCAGAAAGATTATCAACCTTTGTTCAATAATACGTTGCCTGCCACTGATCTGAGGAGTCCATCATCTGGCACTGTATCAATTACTTTATCTTGTCTATCCGTGTGTTTTTCTTGGTGAAATACAGGAGCGGTTTACCATTGCCTTTTCTTGCACAGTATAAAATGATGCTTTTGGTGTTATCATTAAAATTATTACCTGATTCCTAATATCATCCCATAGCACTACTATCGAATAGTGGTTCCTGCTTGCTTTAACTGGCAGCTACGATAATCTTCATGCCTTACGTGATGTTGCTGAGATTACATACACTTGACATATATTCCTAGCATCCTTTGCTCATCCTTTCCATAAACACCCCTACCCGCCACAATGAGGCAGCATAGCAGGATTTTTCATGTAATCCTGGGTTAAAACTTTACCTATTAGCACTTAAATGCGCCAGTAGCTTTCAAACTAAAAAATACTGTCCCAGCTGGTTATAAATTGACCCCAAAACATGGTAATATTTTTCAGGAGTCAGACATTTACTTTCTCAAGGAGTTCAAAGAAAGTAACATTTAGAAAAAATCTCATCTCAGAGAAATTCTGTTTTTTAAAGTTTTTATGTTTTTGTATTATGTCCATTCTACCCATTTTATTGTAAGAATCCTGTGAGATGTTCCCAATAATTTATACATATGCATATGTATATATTTGTATAAATTACACATATGCATGTATAAGCACAGAGGTAAAAATGATCAAAATGATATTTTAGTTGACATAATGGTTTCATGTAGTCAATTATCCATGGCCAATAATAAGACATACCTGATCCAGAAATATTCTAGCTAATGGTGCACAATCTGTAGATTTAAGGAACCGCACAACATCTGCTACACTCCATTCCAGAGGATTGCTGTCCAGCTGTAATTTTTCATCAACTTCTATCTTTATTTCCTATGAAACAAGACATAAAGACAAAAATATCACTTTTTCTTCCTTAGATATCTTTTCCAGAACATAAAAATGTTCTATATGAGCCACTGATCCAATATTCTGAGGGTAAAAAGAAGTCCTATTGTTGAGGCATAACATATGCACTGTCCTGAAAACATGACACAGAATGTAGAATATATAGTACAGGTAGTCCTTGACTTACGATCACAATTGAACTCAAAATTTTTGTGGCTAAGCGAGACAATTCTTAAGTGAATTTTGCCCAATTTTACAACTTTTCTGGCTACAGTTATTAAGTGAATCACTGCAGTTGTTAAATTAGTAATACAGTTGTTAAGTGAATCTGGCTTCCCCATTTACTTTGCAATATCAAAAAGTCACAAAAGATGATCACATGACCCCAGGACACTGCAGCTGTCATAAATATGTGTCAGTTGCTAAGTGTCTAAATTTTGATCATGTGACCATGGGGATACTGCAATGGTTGTAAGTGTGAAAAACAGTCATAAGTCACTTTATTCAGTGCCATTGTAACTTTGAACAAGCACTAAATGAACTGTTGTAAGTCGAGGTCTACCTGTAGTTCAGTAAGTTATCCTAGTTTTGCAATCCCTTAAAGTAAAAAAAGAATTCTGTACACCCTGCCAAAAGTATTAGTAAAAGAAAAAAGGATGAAAAGACACACTTGAATAACCATATAAATAATCAGATTGCTCTAATATAAGTTCTAATATAAAACAGTGGCCCCGAGGTGTATACAACAGAGACTGGGCAATGTAAGTTTCTGAGTTTTAGTACAGCAGAATTTGATGAGGTTTAGTATAGCAGAGATTCATGGTTGTCAGCCTTCTAGAAACAAAAGTCCTTAAACTGAACTGAAAGTAAAAAAAAGTGTGCAATGCAATTGCAAACTATTACTGTTATTGTTGTCATTTCTGCTGTTGTTGCAGTATAGATACAATATTCAATCATCACTTGGAGTTTTTTGTATTTGACAAAGTATTTTCAATTTAATTTGATGACATTCATTTTTCATGTATCTTTTGAGAATTAGGCATATAACCATTTAAATAGTCATAAATGTAGGTAATCTGAGTATAGGCAATATCATTTGTTATTTAAAGGGATAATCAAGACTGAGATTGTATCTATTGTTGTATGGTCTGAACCCAAATTTTATTTCAACTGGATCACTAGTATACAACAAATAGACAAGTATACAAACAAACAGAATTCTACAGACTTAATAGAGCATCTTCTGCAGCTACACATTTCTGATTATTTTTAATAAAGCAGAATTGTATTTTCTATTATTTCCTTGACTACCCTTCTGTGTTCTGAGATCATGGTAAAGACCTACTGAAGAAGTTTTGTTTTATTCCCACTACTGGAAGAAAATGTCAAATTCACACACAAGAACACATACACACATAAATTACTTGAATGCACATGGACATTAAGAGGTACCAAATTGTTAATGAAAGTTATTACATTCATATATAACAATGACTAGCCTACAGGCCAGAAAGCTGCACTTTATGTGCTTTAAATCGCAACAATTACTTAAATTTTCCTAGTTAAAGAAATAAAGGTCAATCATCCATCTTTAAGTGTAGATTTAATATCTGGAGAAAGGAAAAAAGAAAATTGGCTTGTATGGTTTTTTTTAAAGGTTAGTTTGAACAAATGAGCTGAATCACCCCATCTCTCAATTGGTGTCAATTTAGGAAGAGAGAAATTTAAGAAAAATTGTGCAAGTTTTACACACAGTGAAATATAGTGTCAAGCTTGCTAAGTTACATAGTAGACAGATCCAGCAAACATCTCTCTCTCTCTCTTTGTCCGAGAGAGAGAGAGAGAGAGAGAGAGAGAGAGAGAGAGAGAGGGGGGGAGGGGGAGGGAGGGAGGGAGAGAGAGAGAGAGAGAGTTGCTGAAAAGCTCTGATTGTTACATGTTTTAAAATCAAAATATACCTTTGGTGAAGGTGGCTTATTTTCATCATCTGAGAAAGAAAAAGTCCGTAGTTTTCTTTTCCGTTTGTCCCGGTCTGGAGCCCCAAAATGAGACTGCTCACTCTGTGTTGGGGAAGATGACTGTGATTTCTTCTCTGACACTTCAGACTCCTCAAGCAGTTCCTCCTGATGTTCAGAGGTACTGTCTTCGGTAAGAGACTCCTCGTCTATCTCATCCTGATCATCCTCATCTTCACCACCACTTCCCTGAGAAACAATACAGAACGACTCAGAATAGCATGGATTAGCAACCACTTTATCCCCCACAATCTCTATATGTAGACTTGCATATTGAATCCATCCCCCTTAGTTGCCTACTTGGGGTGATCCCACTGGTGTGTTATCTACAGAGGTGGAAGATCGCTTCTTCTTATGAACAAAGAAGTTTTTCCGTTTTTTTCTTTTCCTGTTTGCTTTTTTCATGCTTGCCTCAATGCTGCTGTGGATACTAGGTGGTCGGCCAATCCTTTTGTTTCTCCGCTTTCCATAATAATGGGCTGCAGGAGGTTAAAAGAAAAAAAAGAGTTACTATCATGAAACACAATTCATCATTCGTTTGTCCTTTAAAAGATAAGACCTTAGAAGTACTCTTCTTATATAGATAGCTTATTTTGGTTGTGTGCAACTTTTACATTACTGTAGTAGCAACGATGGGATATGCCTTAGGAAAAAATAACAAAGTATTTACAAAAAACAGTACAGGATGACTGCCAATTTACAAGAAAAACTGGTCTACAAGAATTAGGGTTCAGGTTTCTTAATACAACAGTTACGCTACCATGCAATGTAATCCAAAAGAAGAGTCATTTTCCCCAAGGGAACAAATAATACAAAGAAGGGTTATTTTGAGGGGGTATTAAACAGAAAAGGTAGTATGTAAGGTGCCAAGGAAAGTGAATGTAACACTTTATTTTTACTAAAAACTGAAACAAACAAACAAGAAGTTTTCAGAAATTACAGTGAAAATAGTTGGATTCACATATACACTCAGCCATAACATGCTTTGCTAGATTTTGGCTAAGCTTGTTGTGTGAAGCCAACTGGATTTCTCCATTCAGTAAGAAATTATCTAACTGTTATGAAGAAGATCTGCAAGATTATCTTTGGATGTATATATTTTTTTCAATTTAATGCCATCATAATTTGATTTATTGTAATGTCGGAAGCCCAAAATGTGGGCACTTCATGGTGAAGTATAAGTATAAATGGTATCTATGATTTATTATTGATTAAGTAGCATTAATTCATGGGCCATTATGTTATCCAAACTGGCTGTAATCCAGTTACACCACTGTAACTACAAACACTGTAGAGTTTGTTTCTGTTTACTGAATGACCCAGGAAGTGCCAACTGGCAGCCATCATAAAGCTGATGGGATATTGTGTATTTATTGAAAAATGCTCTTTCTAGCTGCCTACATGTTTTGGAGTAAATAAATGCCAATGATACAATTACTTACTGTATTTGGTTTTTGTTAGAACAGAGCAGTTCTCAGAACATTTGTCTAGCACCATTTGGGGGCCAAATAGATTTGGACAACATTCCAGTTTGATGCAGGTCTGCCTGCAGAAGTCTGCAACTCGATCAGCTGTTCTTACCACTTCCACTGTAGCTCGGTAGCTCTTTCCTTTGTATCTGTAGCAAAGAAAAGTTTCATTAATAAGGAAATGCGAAAGTAAACACAGAAAAACACAGGAGACAAACACGAGGTGGCTTCATACAGTACAGTAAACAAACCAAAGTCTACTATATTATGGCTTATAGCTTATGGTATTTTGATTTATAAAGTAGGGCCTATATCCGTGCAAGTCTAGTGAACTGTAGCTTATTAAATAAATAATTATGAAATGATGAATTAAAATTTGAGTCAGGCCAGTCATAAACACAAAGAGAGGAAGAAATGTGAGTAAATGGGATATTACCATATGTTAAATTTCTTGGTTTAAAATATTATTTATTTATTCATTTAGATATATAAGGATGTCCAATTCCTTTGCTGACTTTGGGCAGCACAGAAATAAACACAAGTGCAGTATCTAACAATGAAAGAAAATAAACATTATACAAGGGTGTTGGAGCATCACCCTACTTGATAGCTGCCTAAAGAAAGGCTTGTCATAACTATGACTTGCAACTCCCTACAAGCTTTCCCACTGATTTTGCTTGTTGGAAGCTGGCAGAAAGACACAAGTCTCAGTCATGTGAGGTCCTCACTTACTGATGAATAATTCTCACTTAACAACAGGAACAGGGACTGCTGGGATTATCATCTCTGTGATGTGATCACATGGTATCATGCTTTATAACCACATTACTTAGCAATGGAAATTCCAATTACCATTGTGAACTGAGGACTACCTGTATATGCTACTGTTTATTTTTGTTCTTTTTACATTATTTTCCTTTTTTTGCACACTAAAGCAATACTTGTGTTAAAAATGCTTGCCTTTTTGGTTTATTACAAATATTATAGCCTCAGTCCTATCTCTGAGAAAAGAACATCGAAGGTCTGAATGCAGCACTGCTTTCCTAACAATTATTCCAGACAGCAGGGAAAAGAGACTAACCCATTATCAACCAGAGCTGAAACAGCAGTAACTTCTGAACTACTGAGGTCTTTTCTATTTCAGGCATTATTGTGAGAAATGCTCTGGAATAGCCTTAATATTATTTTATCAAGTCACTTTCAAAGCAAAAGCAAATAAAAGAAATTGCAATAACCCAGTCTTTCATTCCCTTTCTGCTTGAATAAGCCTCTTAACCTTTGACTGAATAAATAAATCAGTTGCTTAAGGCAGCCCAAAGATGGTTATTGAATTGGTGTGCTTGTAATTTCCATGTAAAAACACCATCAGCGGAACAGAGGTTTTAATTAGGAAATACTAGGATGAGACTAGCAACTTTCCCTTTCCCATCTCCCATGCAGCCAACCAAAACCTGTTCTTCCAGCCTAAATTAAATTACAGAGTGGAGAGACTGAAAGGGGCTAGTTGGTCTGTCACAGGTTTTATTCCCCTGGCAGAAAGACAATCCTGAATCCAAACAGTGCTGATATCTCATGTGGCTTTTCAACCCTTTGAATGACTTCTAATATGAGGACAACTTTTATCTACAATTAGGATTTATACTGCAGCTATAAAAATACATTATCCTAGCAGCTTCTGGTTTTTAAGGATTAAGAGGGGGGTGGGGGCGGCAAGTAGCATATGAATATCCATTATTGCAGGAAAGTTCAAGCTTAAGTCCTGAAAGTGCCATGCAAAACAACAGCTGTACTGACAGTTGTCCGTATAACTAATCTAGCTCTAATAGAAAAATATAAATATATGGAGTATTTTACTTTGCTTTCAAAGTCTCTCCATATCCATGCCACGAAGGTTCTTCATCTAGTTGTATTTCTCTAAGAACACGGCTAGGTTTATAAGCAGCGTTGATCAACAAAGAGAGAACCTAAATTCAGAAAGAGAGAAAAATAGATGTAGCATTAATATGATCAATAAGATTTATTTTAATATATTATTGTGACTTAGCTATTTATATGACCAGCATAACAAGTTTGTAACAGTAAAAGCAAAACAAACCTTATTATTAATTCGTGCAATTTTCTTGGAAAGGTTTGCTCTTACCTCCTTCCTAGGACCGAGAAAGCCCAAAAGTGGTCCAGGGTCTTCCAGGTGATTTTATGTACCTAACTACTGCACCAAACTGGCTCTCAACCAAGCACCTAACAGTGTATAATTTGAAACAGAAATTCCAAAATCTAGTAGCATTCCACCCTCAGTGTAATACAATGCTTTTATTAACTTCCCTCAATTTTATTCAGGAATTACTATAAAATAGTTTCCTAGTAAAATGGTCTTGTAATTAATATAGAATGCTTTATTTCTATGCACATTTCATTTCTTTTGATTGCCAAGGAAATAATAGTTTTGCCTTATACTAAAATATAATAAATAAACGTGTGTGTGTATTATGTGTATTTAGTATATAAATATACTAAAAATAAATATAAATTCTTAATGATAAATAAGAAAAGTATGGGGTCTGGAGGAGACAAGCTTCTTCCAAGTGAATGTCTTCCAGATATCTAAAACTACAATTCTAAGATTGACAATGCTACCTGCTAATAATGGGAGTAATGAACCCAAAATATCAAGAAAGCAATAAGGGGATGATGGTGATGGCAGTGAAATACGGTACAGGTAACAGATAGAAAAAGGTTCTGAAGAGAATTTCACTGAGCCGGAGGATTATGGAACTGGAAGAGGAGATAAGAAGCCAAGCTGTGAATGAGTTATTGAAAGGGAATTTGAAGAAATTTCACAAGGGGTAGTGAAAAAGCAGAGGCCACTTATTACAGAATGAAAAAAAGTAAAAAGCATTGCTGGAGTTGGTCAGGATGGATTTAAAAAAGAAATATACACTTCCTCACCAAGGAAAACACTGAAAAGACTACTGACATATAGACCTTGAGAATATTCAACATGACTGTTTGAATATCATAAAAATTATGTAGCAATCCTGAATCTTGAGTACTAGACAGTATCTGACAATGCTGCCAATAAGTAGCATTACCAATGACATCTAAGGCAGCTATAATAATCTGGGATGTTCTCAAAGGATTATAGATTTATCATAACAGATTCAATTACTGACTCATCAAAATTGGTATTTTGCCTTGGGCAGTTTTGGCTGCTACAAAATTCAGTCCCTGGTATATATCTAACACCCATACATCACTTAGGCATTTCTAGAAAACAGAACATTAATTATAAACCCCATAAAAGCTATTTTTCCTTTAGCTTTTTATTTATTTATAGCAAATTTGTATTCCATTTACCTTTTCCAAAAAAGTATTCCAGTGTGCTTATATTATAGCTTTAAAAAAATCTCATTTTTTTAATATGATAAACTACTGTATTCCACAGAGACAAACAAAAATACTCACATACACTACCAGCTTAAAGTTGTTTTTTATGCCAATTCTAACCACCACTTAGTCTAGAAGTGCAGTGATGTATTATTTCCCGTCAGTGGTGAGATTCAATTTTTTTTACTACCGGTTCTGTGGGCGTGGCTTGGTGGGGAAGGATACTGTAAAATCTCTAGTCAGAGGTGGTATTTGCCGGTTCTCTGAACTACTCACAATTTCTGCTACCGGTTCTCCAGAACTGGTCAGAACCTGCTGAATACCTCTGTTTCCTGTGGTTAGATGCTAGTTAGTAAAAGAAATGCTTTTCCTGCCACTCTGGGTGCCAGTCAGAGAAGTGGAAGCAGATTTGACTCTGTCAACCCCCATCCCCAACAAAAAAAAATGAAGGTGGAAAAAAAAAAGAGAAAGGAAGGTGGAGTAGGAATGGGAGCAAAGTATAAAGAATCAAAATAAGTGGGAGCATGGAATAGGAGCCATTGGGCAATCACTATGTTTATGTATTAGTCTCCAAGGAGATTAGGGTGGAGGGGAAGCTTTAAAATGTCTAATAATGTATATGTTATATCGCACTCCTGATCTAAAACTATACCATGGCAGTTCATCATAAAGTATTATACAATAGCAATAGCACTTAAGACTCATATAACGCTTCACATTGCTTTACAGCCCCCTCTAAGCAGTTTAGAGTCAGCATATTTCCCCCAAAAACCTGGGTCCTCATTTTACTGACTTCAAGGATGGAAGACTGAGTCAACTTTGAGCCAGTAAAAATCAAACTGCTGGTAGTGGGCAGAATTAACCTGCAATACTGCATTCTAACCACTGCGCCACCATGTCTCTAACTACAGTTGTAATAAAATGAAATTGATACCAATAGGCCCAATCTAATTTCATGGGAGGAGGGGGATTCTTCAACCAAACTGCTACCACTGTGAAAGCCTTACGACTAGTTCTAAAATCTAAAAACTGGCAGGAAGTTGCCTCGCCTAAGGACTGTGAGATCAGCTAACAGCAGCAACCCGGACTCTAGGAACTGTCATTGCTAAGAAATGTGCTTGCGCTTTTTGACCACGTTGCTTAGCGACAGAAATTCTGGTCCCAATTGCTGTCATAATTCAAGGACTATTTATATAGTACAGGGAACAACTCTGTTCCTCTGTGGAATAGGAAGAGATCCAGAGTCTAGCTTTTCTTTTTTTAAAGGATACTGTGGAACTCTATTTAATTCATGCATGACTTTCCAGGCATAGCTCTTGAAAGTTTAAAAATCTACATCTTCTTGGATTTTTAAACAAAGAAAAGTCCATAAAAAGCCATGCGAAGGCTCAAAATAACCAAGTAGAGATAGACAGCTACAGCAGAATGAGAAGATCCTTTTTCATAAAAAGCACAGGCAAATGTGAATATGATGATCAAGGAAAGTTTCTACAAACCTTGCTGCTGGATTTTGCAGTTTTCTCCACAATTATTATGGGATACTCCTCCAGATAATAGGGGTGCAGTATAAAGCACAGTGTGTGCAGTATCTTTGATTTATCAGGGAACAAGCCAACTGAAGTCGAAACTGGTCTACATTTCTGATACCAATTCCAGGATCTACATATTTTTAGCCAGATATTTGCCCTGAAATACACTGCTTTGGAGGTTTATCCTTGGCAGTTCTTTCCTCTGTTTAAATTTTATTTCTCTCTGCCTGCTTGCATGATAATAGCAACTTCACTTATGGAGGAAAACAACCAGGATGTTGAAATGAAACTTGCAAACTGAGAGGGAGAGGGAGGGAGGGCAGGAAACAGAATCTTATGAAAAATACAGAGAATTAAGTAATATATGCTACCCTTATTATTGAAGCCCAATTCCCAGAACACTTTTAAATATTACATCTCGCTTTTCTAAATGATTGTTGATTGTATCTGAACTTTTGGTGATGTGGTGTTTTTATTGTTCCGTAAGTGGCCCAGTGTCAGATTGTGGCAATCTTACTGCTGTTCCTATCGTCTAACAAAATCCCAACATTCTTCCCCAAAATAATACAAATGAGTATTATAGAGTAGATACATAGCCATGCATTGCAGATGTCCTTACCTCTTTAAGAACAAGGACGCAATTCCCAGGTCCTACAGATTGTGGGAGTTCTGCAATTCTCCCTTTGTTAAGATAAGGTCCTGAGAAGCATCGGTGATTAAAGTAGATCTTTGGGCAACAGTATTTACCATTTGTTATAACTGGAAAAATAAAATAATTTCTGAATGCAAACACCTACTTAAAACATCCAAAAGATCAATGAATCAATAGAAAATAAAGTAACAGGCAGTTTCCTATATATAATGTACAGTGGCGGTTCTAAACTTTTTTGGCACCAGGGACTGGTTTTGTGAAAGACAATTTTTCCACAGACAGGTGTTGTCGTTTCAGTTTTGCTCATCAACTTCTAAATACTGGTCCTCTTTGAAATACACATTTGGATGTTTGCTGCTACATTTTTCCCACTTGGTTATTTCAACCACTGGGAATGTTAAATAATCCAATAATAGCAATAGCAACAACAATATCACTTAGATTTATATACCACTTCATACTGCTTTACAGCCCTCTCTAAGAGGTTTACAAAGTTAGCATATTGCCCCCAACAATCTGGATCCTCATTTTACCCACCTCGGAAAGATAGAAGGCTGAGTCAATATTGCCTTCTAACCACTGCGCCACCACGGCTCTCAATCAATGGTGTACTAACCTAATTAAACCTTGGATTGGGAAATGCTCAAAATAAAGAATGTTGCCTTGTCTGAACTGCTGGTGGAAACATATTTGGACGAAAATCTGAACAACTAAAACTTATTATAAGAAATGTTAGGTGAGGCTTCACACCTTGTGGGTATTGCACTAAACCTGCCAACTTCCTTTTCATATTCCAATTCAATTGCAGAAGCCTTTTCTTAGAAACGATGAAAGCTCAATTCCAACAGATTTTTGTAAGTACATTTGGGTTACATTCGGGACTTAGTATAGTTTTCTAGAATGAAAAGTATTGGTGCTTGTTCATTTCAACTGATCTATTACCTTCTTCATCCTTACTTTCATTTACTATTAACCTTACGCTTTTGCAATAGGATAGCAAAAGCCTTGGTATTCATAATATCAGTTTTAGGTAGAGTACAAACATGACTGCTATATGGAATCTTATAATGCAGTTATTGTCCACTAAGAATATAGGGGACAGTAACTGTAGTTTTCATATTAATTAGTCATGATGAGGCCAAACAAAAGCTAATAGATGCAAGAAATATCTGATTCATAAAAAAACATTGTTTAATAATCCTGTAATGGATAGTCTCAAAAACAGGATTTTCCAGTGTTATACTGATTTAGGATTAAACAATACTGTACTTATAATTACTTTATTGCTCAATACAGCAAAATAAATTAGCAAGCACCTCTGTGATGTGAGATCATTGAAGTTAACTAATCTTATATTATAGCTATCCTTGGGATAATAATTACTTCCCTTAAAGGCATAATGTCACGTGGTTTATAAGTGGCATAGATAAAAATGAGATTATATTGGTGCATTAAAAAAAATACAATTAAATTCCAGAATGAGCACAGCTTCTACTTGTGTAAAGATACTGCCACAAACCATACCTTTTGCAGGCACTGCAAACCGTGCAAATAAGGAGTGTGCCAATAGATTGGTTTATATATTTCAGAAATGGATGTTAATTATTCAACATTCATTCATTAAACAATTTAGCAAATGATTAAATTTCACCATCTGGTACATATGGAATTTTACTCTCAAGTGGTCTTTAGTTTATAGAGTTCCCAGAGTTATCTGTAAAGGAGCGACAGTCCCTCATGGTAAAACTAAAATGTTTGAAAATGCATGCAAGAAATGTTTGCTCAGTAAAGCCTCATACCCACCAAATAGTTCAAGAAATCTAAGTCAATGACAGATCTTTATAATTAATTCAGAGCTATCATTTTCTATAAATATAAATAAAGCATACAGATATCATAATTAGATACGGTAGGTTGCAGTCTTATTGTCTAACATGTAAACATTGCTTTCTTACTAGTGTCAGTTGAGTTCAGTTCCTGGGTCTTTAATCCTTCACTGACGGTCCTTGAAGATAATATCCTGATAAAAAGTAGACGGGGGAAAAAAAAAAACAGGAATGGGAGATTAAAATTTGAATGTTACAGAGTTTTGTACCATATTGTTTTTTAAAGCAAGTATGATGTAAGACTCAGGCATATTGAGAATTACTTAAAGTATTTATCATCTAAAAGGAAGACAACCCTATTTAAAAGGAAGACAATCCTGCCATATATCAAAGACACATCAGAAGTGGCTACCAGGTTGTTGCAATCTCTAGGAATACCTATAACCCATAAATCCACATTCATACTCAGACAGGAACTTCGAAAGATCAAAGACAGAACATAGAAGGAAGACAGCAATAACATAACACACAGAGTCAGTTGCAACGATTGTAACCAGTTCTACCTTGGGCAGACAACAGTTAAAAACCAGAATCCATGAATACCAGCTGGCTATCAAACAACATGACCCAAACTCCCTGATCGCCCATCACGCCAATAACAAACAACGCCGGTTTGACTGGGATGAAGCTGAAGTCATTGGCCATGCCAAAACTCATCAGGCATATGAGTTTATCGAAGCCTGGCATTCTATCAATGGGTCCATCAACGAACACACTGATTTAGAACCAGTGTACAAACCAGTAAGGAAGCGGACCATCTGAACCACCAATCAATGAAAGTACCGACCACTCCCTCACCAGTTAAATTTCATGCCTCACAGCAACCAGTCTTGTGATTCAACCAGTCATAAGACCAACTGACCACCCAGTTACCTATATAAACAAAGAAAACACTTCATCCAAAACTCTGCTGAAGATATAACCTAGTTTGGTAACGAAATGTCCAGGAGCCGAGCAGCAAGATCGGAGGACAAAGCTCTGCCTAAAGAGAATCCTATATCTAAAAGAGCTCCTCCACCCCACCCCCAAATTGACAGGAACTCTAGTAAAACCAATCCTGGAGATTCATCATTAATTTGCTATACAGCTGTGGGCATATATGTATTCATGTATGCTCAGTTTCTGGGTTGGAGAGGTTTATTGGTTTTTGTAATTACATTTTTAGTTTTTGTAATCTGCCCAGTGTCATTGTGAGTGACTTGGGCAGCCATATAAATGTTTTAAATAAATAAATACATATAAATAAAAATGTAAAATGTATTCTTCCCAGAAGATGTACAACAAAACAGGGGCAGGCTCAGGACAATCTCCATTCTCAACCACCAATTAAATGAATTGCCCATAAATGTATCCTGTTCATAACATTAAACCCCATCTACATATAGCAAATATTCTCATTTGCATGTGTGAATCACTCTACTCAGACACGTATTTCAAACTTAAACAAGAAGAAAAAGAAAATAATTGAAGGTGAAAGTACTGGGAAGGGAAAGGAAAGGGAACAATAAAACTACTGGAATTGAGGCAAGGGGAAATAACAACTTTCAATTTTGAATATTTCATTCAGATGCAATAGAAACCAGAGTTACCTATTATGAGAATGAACCCCAACAACTATTAGATTTAAAAAAACAGGTAGTCATAATTCTCTTCTTGCCATGTGAATAAATAAATAACTAAATTCAATTTGTATAATCGCCCAATTCAGCAAGTGACACTGGGTACCAAACAAAGTTAAAATAAAATTAAAAATAATTACAACCAACACATTTCTCCATTAAATTAACTATACAGTTGTGTATAAAGCTTAGTCATTCCTGTTTAAATTGCATTATAGTTCTAGACTAGCCAATAATCATAATTCTCAGACCCAGCTATTCATTGAGGGTAGACGGGGAAGAAAGAAGGGAGGCACGTGTGAAAGCTATGTCATGATGCAAACTGCACCTGTTTTATATATATATATATAAAAGGGCAGAGTTTGCATCATGACATTGTAATATATATATTGGCATCAGTGTGGTTAGAAAAACATGTGATGGTAGATAAATATATTATAAAAAGTACCACAATGTAAATACATACAAAAAGGGGACAGAAAGAGGCACTGTTGAAAAAGGGTATCAAAATGCCCAGCTCTAATTACCTATCCTTGCATTTAATATTCTGAAAATCAAATCATTGTTCATTATAAACATTAAGTTTAATGCTTACTGTTTCTCTGGTTGAACAACTGCAATTTTCTTTTCCTTACTCACTGTAAAACAAAATTAAACATACTGATTATTAATCTAATAAAACACTGTAAAATATATCCTATGATGACACAAAGCAACTGCAGCTCTTTGCATAATAATCACAATGAATTGTAACCTAGTAACAAAACACCAATATAGAAACGATTATTTTATACTTTTTGATTTACAAATGGACACATCTCTCATTCAGTTCCTAAAAATATTAATTTAAAGTCTTCCATATAATGCACATTTCAGCAAATATCCTCTAAAGCAGGTGTAGGGCTCAGGCCCCAGATGAGTTTAACAGGAGTTTTTAATTTAAAAAACAATGAACTGGAACAAAAAACTTCTTATTGGTAGGGATGGCTTTGAAGCTCATAAGAAATTGAATAGCATGGCCAAGAGGACATGGTGGTGGAGGGTGGGGGGGAATTAGCTTTCTAGTTGATAAACATATTTCACAATTTCATGGCATCAGTTTTGCAAGTGCATCAACACATGCTGTCAAAATACCCACAGTGACCTCAGCTCTAAACACTTTCCTTTACAGTGTTTCCCCAAAATAAGACCCAACCAGAAAATAAGCCCTAGCCCGATTTTTTAGTATGCTAATGTAAGCTCTACCCCCAAAATAAGCCCCAGTGAAGATCTTCCATCAGCCAGGGGTGGGTGAGTGGCCATGGCCAGCACATGAGGTGGAGAGGATGTGGGGGCAGACAGTGTACTGCAGAAGCCAGTCCCACTGCTTGTGCTCACTGGCCCAGCCCTCCAAGCAGAGAAGCGGAGGGAGGCAGGTGATTCCGATGTGCAGCAGCAGCAGGAAGAGGCATGGGCGGGGAGGGCAGGTGATCTTATGCCCCATTGCTGCCATGGGCAAACTGAGAGACAGTGGGACAGAGGCAGTGGGATGGAGGCAGGTGATTCTGATGTAGGAATTCCCTGCGCCTCAGAATCGCCTGCTACCATTAAATCAGGTGTCAATCCATCCCACCATCTCAGCTTGCCCACGTTGCCTCAAAAATAAGCCCTACTGCATCTTTTGGGGCCCCAAAAAATAAGACCAGGTCTTATTTTCGAGGAAACATGGCACTAGTTCTCAGGCAATTTTAGAATTAAATAAAATTATTAATTTTATGCCTCCTATGATCTTTACAAACATGCTTATATATTGCAACCCAAGGTGTGTATCTTTTTATTATGCTTAACAAAAGCATATAAAAATACTTCAAAGTGTATCCACTTGTCTAATAGAGTTATGCACCAGTTTGCTGCAGTGGTCAAGTGTTGGCCTAGAAATCAGGAGACCATTAGTTCTAATCTCGCCTTAGCTATGAAAGTCAACTGGGTGATTTTGGGTCAGTCACTCTCTCTCAGCCCAACCCACTTCACAGGATTCTTGAAAACAGGAGGAGGATGGAGTATTATGTATGCTTGCCACCTTGAGTAATAAAGTAATAAAAGCGGGATAAAAACATCTAATAAATAATATTCATACCTACTACTCTGCGAGGAGGTCTAAGCTGGTATCCATTAGTTTCACACCAACCAACTGGAAATATATTCATAGATTCCACACTCACTATAAATTCAGGGACTGGAATTTTAGAACCTGCATAATAATAATGATCATAATGTTCTTAAGCACAATTGTCATCACTGCCACCAATATATCACCAGCATCTTACAAGGCTAACCAGTTGTAATACTTTTTATGAACTGGTACATTCTTCATTCCTCTGCACATGTGAACTAGTTCTAACTTTGTCAAGTAGCTCTGTCAGGTTACAAGTATCTTTTTTTAAAGGTGTTTAATTATCAGGAGTGGTAAAAAGAAATACAGTTTAAATGCAGCTATTTCAAAACATTTCCTGAAGGAAAATAGTATGACACTCAGGCAAAATACTTCTGTAAATGTGACCTGTAGAATGGCAAATCAACTTAAAAACATCTCTCTCTCTCTCCTCTGAAAGACAACTTACTTTCCAGCTGTAGCCAGAGATAGGAATCCTTCACCTTTGTAATAGTAGCCACACAGATTTCTTCTGGGTTTTCTGAATTCACAGCCTCAAGTTTCATGTTCTCCTTAAAACCATGCTCAGAATTTAACTAACACAAACAAAACACAAGATACATGCTTATTATATATTTTCAGTGCCTCACATTAAAATACTAATGAAAAATAGTTCAAAATAATTTTAGACACCAACAGAATGATGGTTCATATTTTGTGAATGTAAAACCTTTTAGAAACACATGAGGTTTCAACTGAACAACCCAAGTAATAACTTATATCTTGAATAAAATGCACAAGGTCTTTGGTTTCAAACTCAGACTTTGCATTACACAAAATTAAATAAGGCAAAAAGGATATATGTAGTTGGAAACTTGCTTTATGGCTGAAGGAAGACTTGGTTATGTCAAAACAGCCGAAAAAGTGCTACTCTACCACTTCAACCTAGAAGTATTGATCTACCCAAAATCTGAATGCAAACAATTGCCTGTAATGTTCATTTATAATTACACTTTCCTCCTCCCATCATGGGACTTCCTGCCTTAAGATAATGCTGTCCCTCAATACAGGATGCCTTTCTACAATTTTCAGGTGTTAAGAAAATGGCTTTTTCCCTTCATAAATACAGATTTATAAGTATACAGCCATTTTTATTCCTACATTAGCTTGCTGGGTTCTTCAAATAAAAAGAAATACCTAAACCTAAAATGCTGAATGCTAAACTGAATTCCAATTAAGCAATCTACCAACCTTTTTAAAAAGGATTATTATGATGGCTGGTTGCACAGTCAGCCAGATATTTAGGTTGGTTTTGGAATGTTTTACCTTTTTATTATGTTGTTACTGTAGTAAATCTACATTATATTTCAGGGGTCACCAACCTTTTGGACCTCAGGGACCACCAAACTCATTATTTTAAATCCCGGGACCACTAATGTGAATTTTGACTGATGTGGCTTGCTGACATTAGTGGGAGGGAGAAGGAGAGAGAAAGAGAAATCTGATCTAACCTTGGAGGGCTGGTGATGTTCTCTCTCTCTCTTTCTCCCCCTCTCTCCCTCTCCCTCTTTCACACACACACACACACACACACACACACACACACACACACAGATCCCTCACCCCCCCACCTCCTCCAAGGCATCCCCATTCCTAGCCTGCTTTGAGCTCCGTTCCCAGAGGGAGGGGAGGGGGGAAAGAAAGATCCGATCTAACCTCGAGGGCTGGTGATTTTCTTTCTCTTTCTCTCTCTCCCTCACACCCCCTCACCCCCTCCAAGGCAGCCCAATTCCTAGCCTGCTTTTGAGTTCTGTTCTCAGTCTGCACTCGAGGAAAGCAGCAGAAGTCTTTCTTTCTCTCCCCCCAAAATCTGTCAGAAATGAGTCTTTGCCGGTGCAGCCTCTTGGAGCAGGATGCCTTGTAGGGTCCCAAAGACTCATTTCTGGCGGAGTTTGGGGGAGACAAAGAAAGACTTTTGCTGCTTTCCTTGCATGCAGCCAAAAACAGAAGAAGAAGCGGAAGAAGCAACCCGATGGCCAGGCAAGTTCCCGCCTCCGCCCTTTCCCCCCCTCTCATCACTACCTCATGTTGTTCCTAATGCAAGTGACGGAAGCCTTGTGTTCCCGCAGGCCATGTGGGCGGCACAGCCTTGTGTTCCCCCGCAGCCTGGATTAATTGCTTTAGGAGGGTGCTTTGGGGGGGCATTTCTCTGTGGACCAGCAAAATATTCTCGCAGATCACCAGTGGGCCGTGGCCCACTGGTTGGCGACCTCTGTTATATTTCAATATCATATTTGGGCAATATCAATTGAAGATTGTTAGCTAATTTTGTGAGCTAAATCTTGCTAACTCTCTAGAAGCAGATTTTTTTATTTACAAAGGAGTATTCCATCACCACAAATCCTAATTTGCATCTTAAATTGCATAATTTTACTATATCAACAGCATTTGTAGCCAAAGACACAAAAGGACACTGTTATACAAGCTACACTATAAATTCTGGAAGAACACAATGAATATTAATTGCTACAAGTATACGTTTAGATTTCATAGTCTAAACTATGAAATCACATTCTAAGAACAAAGCAAGGATTTTAATACATGGTTTTATTAGTATGTGCTATGGCTAATGGACTTTAGGAATAAAATATGCATCAGTAAATAAAACCATTCACATTACTTTCCTGAATGCTTACCAGAGGAAAACAGCTTTGGGGAGCAGCTTCAGCTCCGCATTGCTTAAGATAATCTGCCCAGTCAAAGTCTTGACCTGGATAACCTGTAAACAAGAAAACAACAACTTGATTACAGCATTTTAATCATATTCCTTCTTTTAAAAGGTCTGGTTATCTTCTATTTATTCCCTTCTGGCTCTTTAATATTGTAAAATATGTCAGATTAAGATGATGATGATGACATTCACAGTTCTATGATCCTGAGTTTGGACAATCCTAATCTAATATTCTAATACATCGACTTACAACAATTGAGCTCAAAATTTATGTTGCTAAGTGAGACATTTGTTAAGTGAGTTTTGCCCCATTTTATGACCTTTCTTGCCACAGTTCTTAAGTGAATCTAGCTTCCCTATTGACTTTCTTGTCAGAAGTTCGCAAAAGATGATCACATGACCCTGGGATACTGCAACTGTCATAAATATGAATCAGTTAAATATGAAGCATCCAAATTTTGATCACATGATCACGGAGGCTGAAACTGTTGTAAATGTGAAAAATGGTCATAAGTCACTTTTTTCAATGCCATTGTTAACTTTGAATGGTCACTAAACAAACTGTTGTAAGTTGAGGAGTACCTGTATCACATTGACTTCCTTAAACATGAGCTTAACTATTTAAAAAAATAGTTCCAGACTTCAGAAAATTCTTCCCCAAGTCTATACTACAATTGAATTAAAACAAATTTAAATTACGCACATTTAAATGCATCTAGGAGACTGATATGAATGAAGGTAGATTTCATATACACACCAGGTGGAGGGTTGAGATGTAAGCCATTTTTCAGACTCCACTGTACAGGGAAAAGTCCAGCACTGTTGACATGACAAATAAAAGGCTGACTTGTGGTACAATCTGGTCTCAAATCATCTATTTCTATTAAGAAATATTTATCATCCAATACCTGCAAAACAGAGAAATGACTTAGATAATATAAAATTGAAATCATATGGAGTTTCACAATCATGTTTCAAGGCTATATTTGTTGAGATATTTACTGTCTATTTTATGTATTTTTATAGTTTTGTACCTTGCTGTGATTTTACTAGGGTTTTAACAAATTGTATTAAATATTAGCTATTTTAAAATAAAAAGTGATATTTGACAAAGTCTTAAGTATAACCCCTTGAACTTCAGATGTCATCAGTGAATATGACAGAAAAACATGGAGAATGTTAGCTTAATTTGAAATTTTAATTAAATTACCTCCAAGCATAGCTTTCCTTGCTCCTGTTATAATGGGGTGGATGCTAAAATTACTGTTCTCTTATTATTTCAATATCTATTAAGGAAAATCCCATTAGAAATTTTCCCTGAATTTTTATTAATAATATTTTTCATCCAATTGTGCCTAAAATGTTAGGGGCAAAGAAATGTATCATGGCTTATTATTAACTCCAATTTTTGAAAATTAAGAATCCAGCTGGATAGGATAAAAAAGAACAAATTATTTCAGTATTAATACCGATTCACAACTGCAATTTGTAAATTTTAGCACAATGCAAGAAAAAAATGCATATTTGTGTATTTCTGGAACCATATATAATTCCTGTAAAAGAATGTCACTGCTTAATTTTAAGCAATAAAGTTCTTAAAGCTGCTTGTGAGTCTATCTCCTTGCAATTCAATCCCAGATTAAAGGAACTTTCAGTTGCTTATTGATATAGAAACTGAGCTCTGCTTCTTCCATAATATCTTTTCATTTCATGTTCCTTGGAACTGACGCACAGAATTAAAACCAGGTATTTATAAATAATACTGAGACATGTTCTTGCTGCAAATGCCCTATAAAATTAGCTTCCATTCAAAGTGACCTAAATTAGTGTGAGTAAATTACAGGGAGTAGTTTTCTTTGCAACAGAGGAAATTATAGTTAGCAGCAGAGATACTTGTGATACCTTTGTAACTGTAGCAGGTGATATGGCAAAAGGAGCTTTTGGATTAATAGCTTCCAACTTCATGTTTACAGAAAATGCATGAGTTCCAACAGCAGGTTTGTCCTAAAAACGATTAATAAAAACTGTTAGTTTCTATCTCTCAACATTTTCTTAGTATCTATGCATGTATGTAGATACACATGTACATGTGTACACACACACACACAGTAATTTTTAAAACACCCTTATTTTGTTTGGGTCAGTTTTCTTTTCTGCTTTATATTGTTGTTGATATTTTAGTTTTTTGTCAACAAGGCAGTCACCAAGAAAGAAAATTATTTATAATAGAGAATGAGACCTTCAAAATATTTTCCATTGATAAAAGACACGTTCTACTTGTTTAATATTTCTCTGAAAGTAATATGGGAGTTTTCCACTTATAGGAAATCAACAAATTAAAGCTATCAACAGTTGCTCTCTCAAAAATAATTCAGCATGCTTTGTTCTTATGGTACAAATATTTCACACAATAATTTTAACTAAGACTTTTCTAAGAAACATTCTTTCAAATAAATTGACATATCATAACATTATGAAATTGCTTATTTTTTTAAAAAAATTGACAAAATATTTTTGAAACTTTCAAAACTGGGTCTGGGGTTTCCCTGCAGGATGGGAAATCAAAAGTTCATCTGTTTCATTAATGTCTAAAATAATCTATACATTATCTTATGTAGTATATTTTAACATTTTAAATTACCTAGTTTCTGATATCCAATAAGTAAAAACCTTAATTAAAATATTACCTTGTCTAGTTCCCAGAAATTACTTTTCGTACATATTAGATTTAATCATAGCATTTTCTAAGAATACAGTAAATGCCAAATGTCACACCTTGAACAGATCAGTGGGCACTAACGATTCTTCTTCTTCTTCTTTTACTTTTGCTAGAATTTCTTGCCATTCTGTCTCAGTCTTCAAATACTTAATAGCTTCAATAAAAGAATGATAGTTTGTTATCCCATTAAAAGTAAAACACAGAACTTTTAAAATGAATATATTAAATTACATTCATAGTAATGTAGCAATAGCAATAAGATTTATATACACTTCTTCATAGTGCTTTACAACCCTCTCTAAGCAGTTTCTGAGACAGCATATTGCCCCCAACAATCTAGGTCCTCATTTTACCAACCTTGGAAGGATGGAAGGCTGACTCAACCTTGAGCCAATCAGAATCAAACTTCTGGAATAAGCAGTGAGTTAGCCTGTAATACTGCATTCTGACCACTGCACCACCACTGCAAATAATGAAGTAACAAATATTTCTCCCTAATCTGTGTTCCCTATGAATGTTGAATATTGTCTTTTTAAAAAAAGCCCTCTTGGCAAACTCATAATATTTTTCAACTATCGTTAAAAAATACAAGAGACTTAAAAATACTTAAAACTCAGTATCTAAACTATAAAACTAATGTTTATAAATAATATAAAAACATTAAACTAGTAAACTACTAACTGGTATAAGTGACTAAATTCCTCAATACCAAACTACTGATTTGATAAATTACTAAATGTTAACATAGTTAATCCATTAATCAATCTTTTAATTAAATTACAAGTTAGTGTGAATATTTAACTTCCATATTCAATATAGCACGATGTATCATTATCTCAGTAGATCTTAAATTCCTTTTTACAATATTGCAATTTTTTCAGGAAGACATAATTTCACTATTTGCGAGATGATTTTAACTATTGTATCTGTAGTAGATATCGGGAGTTATCAAGATTTCTTACATAAAGGATCAGAATTCTACAAGTATCTCTGTATAAATAACAATATAGAAGGACACTGACTAGAATTCCTAATGTGCATGCATTTTCCATGCATTTTAGTTTGTAGAGTACTCTTACAGTGTAACTAGGAAGGTGTGTGTGTGTTTTCCTCAAAAGCATAGTCCAAGTGGAAACAAACAATGGAAACAAAGATTATTTTAAGAATGATACGTTTCCAAGGCAGCTTGACACAAGTATCATCAAACAAGGGAAGGGGGAAGGTCCAGAAAACTACAGACAAAGAAGATACTTTCTTTCAGTCTGCAGTGCTAGTTTGTGACTGAAAATTAAGTTTTGTACCTAAAGGTGGTTCAAGGATGTACCCTTGTTGAGATGCCCAACCCATTGGATGAAGAAAGGGATCTAAATAGAACATCCATAAGTCATATTGTTCTACATCTCCAAGTCCTTCATAGCGCAGCCTGAGTCTTCCACCAATGTTTTCCAGAACAATGACTATCCAAGCTCCTAGATAGTCTTTTAAGTGCTGACATTCAAGTCGTGATCCTGGTGCAATAAGATCCAAAGAATTTTTTCCTCGATGGAGCTGCAGAGTAAAAGGAAAGAAAAATGGTTAAGGACATCTGCCTATTCATCTATTCTAAAATACAACATTATTTATTTATGTATTTGCATCATTCATTTTCTTACACATTTTATGTGTTTTTTAATGACATTATCTGTAATATTTTTATATTTGTAACAGGTTCACAGTTATTGTGAAATAAGAAAGGATTTGCTATTCTTTTTTTTTTTTTTTTGCTTTCTAGGCTTTTAGTCTGTTTGCTTTTAAGTAACTAGTACATTATAGCGTTGATTTAGATTTAAATGTATATTCCTTAATAGAAATATATTATTTATTTATATATGTATGTCTATTTCCCACTAATCCAGAATACTAATGGGTGACCAGTTCTCCATTTTAATGTACTTTTTTACAAGATGCCATTAGCTTCCCAAAGCAGCAAATAGAGCAAAGAACTAAGCCAATCTGTAAATCAGATTATTGAGCTCATGAAGCAAACTTTCGATTCACTGAATCTAACAGTATTAGAAACCCTTTCTACATCTATGTCACCACAGTACTTTTATTACATACAAAGGTGAACAAAAAGAGGTGAAGGTAATTTTACAGACCAGAAAGGTTACTTGCAATTATGGAAAGGTTATTTCTGAAAGTTATAAAAATAAAATCAAGATGAGCTTCTATAAAATATTCTTTAGGCCATATAAAATACAAGATAAGCATTATGGTGTCTATGTAATTGTTTTCTTTCTTTGCTTCACAATCACTCACTCAGCATCTGTTTAAAGTTAATGAAGGCCCTGAATGGGTGGTACTTTCAACTGGTTTTCAAAGTTCTGACCATCATAGCACCTGCAAATATTATCTGGGTACTTGCCACTGCAGCATTCTGCTGTCACATGAACATTATTTGAAATCTCCCCTGCCAACCTCTTACATGCAAAATCAATGGGGAAGCCATTAGGGAATGTTTCAAGTCATTCACACTACCAAACCCCTTCTCCAACCCTGCCTCATTCCATAATATTAACCCATCTGCCTGCCTGCTTGTGATTTGCCTGGGGCTTGTGACTGACAGCTTCTTCACTGACTTAATGAGAAGCCAGCAGGAAGTCACAAGTGACAGTCACATGAGGTTTTCGCTTAATAACCCACAAACCTTGCTTAACAACAGCAATGAGGACTGCTAGGCTTGTCATCACTAAACAATGTGGTTATGTGATGTCACGCTTTATGACTGCATCGCCCAGCAATGAAAATCCTGGCACCAATTGCTGTTGTTAAATGAGGACTACCTGTACAATAGATATGCCACCCCACTGATGAAGTTCTTTCCCCAAAGAGTTCTCCATTGTAATCCCACCCCTCTTCCAGATTTTAAGTTTATTCTGAAACATGTTACAGTGTCTTTTATAACTATACAGCAAAATCTCTCTTGTATTAGTTTGCCACTAAATATATTCCAGAAAGATGAAGTTATAACCAAATTGGAGAAAAAACATGCCACTAATTAAAAAAAACAAGTGGTAATTATTAAGTTTTATTAAAGTGGACTCTTTACTTCTAAAATTGCTACTGTGTAGACACTTACCCCTTCTAGAAGACTGGCAGGAGGGCTGCATGATCCTTTCAGAATTTGCTGAAGGAATTCTATCTGATTGGGAATTTTATCCTTAATACCTAAAAAAAAAACCTAAGTCAATCGATATGCACTCTTGCTATCTTATAAGCAGCTTGATTAAAGTTACAGTTATCCTGGGAAGGTCAAAAGCAAACCCACATGTCTATGGTTCAACGTGTCTGCAACTTTTGGATTACTTAAGTGTACATTTCAGAGTTTTATGAGCCAAGTTTCTGAGTTCAAGGATGATTAAATCTAGAATAGGAACAGGTACAGGATCTCAATCATGATGAACCAAAAATAAGATTGTCAATAATATATGTTATTATTAAGTCAAACACTTATATTGACAAGATATTAAAAAGACAAATGGGTTGACATGCATGACTTTTAGGTATCATAGCAAATATGTAAAAGTAAATGTAAAAGCAATTTGTGCAAACATATTTAAAGTGACACCCATGGAAAACCAAATACAAAAATTTAGAGAAGAAGCCTGAACAACAAAATCTTAATCACTTTACAGGCAGTTATTTTGTAAGTTTACAGGGCCTACACTTTGTTCCATAGAAGATGGTTACCTTCAGGCACTTTGAGGATCTTCTTGTTCTGCTCACACCAGCCAAGCGGATGCAAATCAGCTGTCATGATATCACACCAAAAATCAGCCTTGCGGTCTTCTCCATAACCATCATAGCGCAAAAGTAGTAACTGCCCACAAGTGGTAATGATTGTGGCAACCCAATAAGTATCAGGGCCTGGTTTGATAGCAACCTCCAATTTCATGCCTGGTATGAAGCCATTTTGTGGGCTAGTATCCACCTAAAAGGGAAAAAAAATCAAGTCAGCAATTTTGACACTGTAACATTATTTAAACAATATTTGGCACAAGTTAGGGATTTCTGTTGATAACTGGGCAATAAGGAAGGTAATGAATTAACATTTCTGGATTGGTCAATTAAATAATCTATAATGGAAAATACTACAATCAGATTTGGATACAGTTTTAAGGATACAATGGTATTAACCTATATCAGACCATGTGTTTCCCCTCCCCCAAATAAATGATCAACATGGCAATGCATTTATAATTAATTAATTCACAACTATCTAGAAGCCCAGATTACAAACTTTAGTGTATAAAGCCCCTGCTTTATGCTCCCGGATTGCTACTGAAATCTATTCAATACAATTGATAATTACATCTATTTTGTACTTATAAACACAAAAAAACTAACTGACCTTACCAAGAAACTCAAACAATAAAGCCTTCAGGCTAAAAAAAAAAGCCCTGCCTGATTCAAGATATGATGCTAAAATATAACAATAAATTATTTTTAATTATATCATCACCTATCATAATGAAGGCAAATTACACACATATGAGCAATCCAAATATCTGAATTGTATTTGTTCTGCTATTATACGAATCATATATGTGTGTGTGTGTGTGTGTGTGTGTGTGTACACATACATGTATACACACACACACACACACACACACAAAGAGCCATTGTATAAATTTTCATTCCCATTCTATTCTCTTGAATTCTGACACTTAAAACAAACAAAAATTCTAGAAGATATTTGTATACAAAGTGAATTCCAAATCACTGGTCTTCAAAACAACTGAGAATCCTTCCTACTTCTGTATTAATTACAACTCTACAGAATGATCCTTGACAACTTAGATGACAGTAGTATACATTCTAATTAGGTTGCTTGTGAGTAGGAAAAATAATTTTGAAATCATTTTTATTAAATAAGCTTTACTCATACAAAAATGTATTTCAAATTGGAAATGAAGCAGAATTAGATAACTGTCTCACTCAGATACAAATGGAAAGTTTACATAAATACACAGTCCTAGATGAACACATAAATCAAGGCAGAATTTGGGCAAAGAGATTCTAACTAACAATAAACTAACAAAAGTAAATAAAAAATAGCATGTTCATAAGAATAAGAACAAGAATAAGACGCCTTAATTTGATACGTGTCTTACTATACAAATAAAGTATGATTACTATGGACAGGAACCAATATATTCAAAACATTCTGTTTCTTGTTCCAATAGCACCCTCTCATGGTAATCTAGTAAGACTACAGTAGTACAAGGCGATTCAATTTCTCATGCAATCCTATGACACTACAGAAATTCTTTGATCTTGCCCCCAGGTAATAGAACTGCATTCTCCATCTTTAATTTTTTAGGGTATACAAAGCAACAAAGTATGCTAGCTTATGATTGAAAAACTCTGTACTTGATCAAAGACACTTATAGTAACAATATTAGGGGAGGGGGAGATTAAATTGGTAAAATTTATACCAGAAGATAATTAAATCTATATACTCACTACTCCCCCTTGTGAAATGGATACACACATATATATTTATACAATTGCTCCAATATTTTTCTCATTTTCATATACAATACTTTGTATTTATATACCCGTACATTCACAGTACATGCATATACATGCTGCTTTCTTCTGGAATAAACCAAATTATGGAGAAAAGGAGTAAGAAATAGTAAACCATGCATGAGAGTAAAAAAGAGAGGGAAACATAGCTAAAACTAGCTTATACTAACATAATTAACTATACATCTCCAGGTCTTTCTATCACTGGGGGAGCGGGGATCTTGATACCACTACATTCATTGCTTTTTGCCCTCTGAATTTCTCTCCTTTCTCTTTTTGAGGGTATCATAAACTCTAGCGAACCACAACTTTCTCTACCTTTCTCTGAACTCATTCACTTTTCTTTTAATATATTATTACATTCATTAATTTATATATTTATATAGCTGCCAATCCCACAAAACATGACTCTGGGCATGACTCTTGTTGCATTTAATGATGGATCTTACTTTCTATATTTGAATAAAATATTCCATAATTTAAGCCTATCAACAAATGTATAATAAACGTTCTCACATCCCTATATTTCTCAATTACTTGCTGAACAGAAAAATCTGATTTATATACTTCCTGTCCAGCATAAAGCTGGACTTCCCAAATTTCGCTCATTGTCACATCTTGACAGTCCATATCAAAAAATTCTGCCAAATGCTTCCCTAGGAATGTTTAACACAAATATTTTTTTTTCATTTACTCAATACATTTCCTTCTGTTGAAGATAAAAATAACAGCATCCTACCAGTCATCTGGGACCAATGTATTCTTATGCATACATTAAACATGTCACATAGCCATTTCCTAGAAAATCCACATCCATATTTTAAAATCTCTTTAGTTACATCACCCATACATGTAGCCTTACCACTTTTTCAATATCCCTCACAACATTTGTCTAACTTTTAATAATTGCAGGATTTATTTTACCATTTATAGCATTTGTTCCATTCTTCAACATCATTTCTATTCAAACCTCTATAATATTCTAAGTAATTTCTCAGTTCTGTTTTAATTATTATTGTTGTTGATATAAGATATATTATGAAAACAGCAACATGTATACATCGGTTTTCATATCCACATGATTAGATCCTTCCCAGGGATCTAGGATAATTAAAGATATTGCCCTGATATATGTGCTGTTGTAAGTAATAAAAAAATGTCATTGGTAAATTGAGATTTTATCTATTCCTATTGTGTCCAAGTAATTTTTCAGATTTTGGTGTATGGCACACCAAGCTCACTATTATTGGCACCACTAGTACTTTCCCCCCATTTATTTGATCTTTATTTGGAGATCTTTAAGTTTCCCTATTTTTTCTACTGGTAGTTATTTCTCACTGATTATCTCCAGCTATTGCAATGCCAGTTATCCATACTTGTTTCTCTATAACTATAGTCATGTCTGGCTTGTTATGGGCTAAATATGTATTTGGAAGTTACCACCTTAATGACTTCACTCGACTACTTTTTCAGTGTTGTGATTCCAACAATTCTTTGCTGCTAGTAAGTTATCTTTATTGTTGTCATATTATTATTGTTGGCCTTCATATATACTGAGTTCTTCCCAAGAACCTAGAAAGTCATAACACATTGTTGTAGTATATAACATAGAATAACAGGATTGGAAAGAACTTTGAAGTCTTCTACCCACTTCTTGATTTTATACTATTCCAGATAAATGGTTATCCAATCTCTTCTTGAAAACCTTTAGTGATGGAGCACCTACCACTTTTGGAAGCAAACCAACTGATTAATTATTCTCATTATCAGAAAATTTCTTCTTAATTCTAGGTTAGATCTCTCTTTAATGATCTTCCCACCTATACTTTTGTGTCCTACCCTCAAGTGATTTGGATAATAGGTCAAACTCCTCTTCTCTATTCTCGAGTACTAGAAGACTGCTACCATGTTACCCCTAGTCCTTCTTTTCATTAGATTAGAAATACAAGTTCCCTCAATCTTTCATTGTACAGATTAGCCTCTGGATCCCTTATCATCTTTATTGTTCTTCTCTGTACACCTAGAGTCTCAACATCTTTTTTGTATCATGGTGACCAGAATCGCAGTATAAAGCAGTACTATGACTTCACGTGATGCTGATACTATCCCTTAATTAATGCAGCCTATAACTGTATTGACTTTTTGGCTCTTACCTGTTAGGGTGTCAATTGAGATACCTAGATCCCTTCTACAGAGTTGTGTTTTTAATGGTGACAGCCCATAGCTGTACTATATTCTAAAATGACCCTATAGTTTCTAAGTTAGAATCAATGTATTTCTTGTTGAAGGTTATATGCTTTCATTATTTGAAATTAATAAACCAACATGTCAAAACTTACAGTCCCTGTCCAATTATTTTGTTAGCAAAAAAAAAAAAAAATCAGTAATGTACTTTTATCTGCAGCATTACATTTTAAAAAGTAGCAAGTTAATTTTGATGTTTTATCAGTTCACTTGTACTAAAAGGAAACAAAATAAAAAGGAAGGGATGACTGAGTGAGTAAGGTGTTGTCAACAAGGCATGGAAGAAAGCCTTAAGATGATGAGTCAGCAAGCTCTTTGCAGACTAATTATCTTCATGTGTTGTAACTGCAAAAGATTTCACTTTGCACCATAGAACAGCCACTCTCACTTTAAAAATATTTAAGTCAGCAATTCTTTGGATCTGTCTCTAGTACTAACTGAAACACAAGAGTCCCTCTTGCAAAGCAAAGGACAAAAATAAATGCTCTCTATTAGTTATTCCCCTTTAAATGGGACCTGTGAGGATATTACTAAAGCCCAAAAGTTACAGCAAAGAGCTTAAGGGACTGCACTTAGAATTCTCAAGGATCTGAAATGAAGAGCTTCTGCACATTATGGCTACCAAGGGATCAGAGTTTAAAAAACACATGCAGAAGACAACATTGACCAGATGTTTACTTACATGTCTAAAAGAGCTGTGAGGTGCTGCTGTTGCTCCTGTATCTTCCAAATAGTCATCCCAACTGAACTCTGCTTCTTCCACAACAGATCCTGCATCTACAATCAGCCAGAAACAATGAACAAATCTTAAATGGAAAGATGTAATTGTATTGGCATTATAAATTTATTTACTGTAAATGTTTCTTTTCCCCTGCTTTGAAGACAAAGGAAATATTCTATTGAAATTGTGTTTATTAAAATGTACATAACACCAAATAATATAGATAATATGCACTAGTGTCAATTAAACAATATCACTTGTCTGTCAGATATCAAAAGGTAGCAATATAAATTACTAAAGCCCTTATGCTGATATAGTGGTCTAATGCCTAAGCTGTAGTGAAGAGTTGTTTTTTTAAAAAAGATAGAATGTACCTTATTTCAAGAGTAATGATGGAAATTATATGAAAAAAACTTTTCAAGTTTAAATTGATTTGGAAAAGAATAACAGGTTTATGAAGTAGGCACTAAGCAATTTGCAGATATAAAAGGGCAGCTGCTTTTTCATAAATCATGTTGGATTTGTGACCTATGCCCATAAGCAGTGTTCTTTTGATTGTATTGGAGCTATCTTTAAATAAAAATATATTTTCACAGTCACTGGTGTCCTTATTCCTGAATGGAATGCACTTTTAATTTGGAAAAGTATACTTCTATGGATAAATACTTGTTTTATTAAACGGGAAAAAAAAAAAAACCACAGGTGCAAAAACTATGAATGAAGCAAAAGATCCATAAAAATCTCACATCTTGCTCTTCTTCTACCATGTAGTAATTGTTTAAAGTTTTGCCTGATCAAACTCTATTTTAAGTTCTCAATTACTGATGGAAGAAATTCATTCGCTTAATATGTATAGTATGTTTTCACGAATGCCTAATTTATATTATACAGATAGTCCTCAAGCTACGAACATTTGTTCAAGCAACTGTTTAGATATATTACAGTATTGTTCAGTGACCGTTTGAAGCTACAATGGTGCTAAATGAATGGCACTTATACAAAGTCCCTTAAGTTACAACAGTTTGTAGTACCCATATGGTCACATAACCAAAATTAGGATGCTTGGCAGGTCATCTGTATTTATGACAGCAGCAAGAAAATGGTAGAAGTGGGCGGTGGAGCACAAATCGGCAAAAACGTTGAAGTGCAGGGGACCAAAAGGGGAAAAAAGGGGAAAGGGAAGGAGTTGAAAGGGAGGCAGTTCATTATCAAAGCCTGGAGCTAGGAGGGCCCAAGCCGCAAGAATGGGTCCCTGGCTAGTCACTGATGGAATTCAGTTAATGATGGCAGCAAGAACTGTTGGGATTGTGTTAACCTTTTTTTGTCTTTTAATGAGTTTATAATCCTTTGTATCCGGGTGGAGTCAGGACAACTGAATGGAGCAGAGTGTTTACTGGCTGGATGCCCTTCCTGTTGCCAATGCAGCGTTCACAGCTGATATTTACTCATTGTGCCCAAAGAGAGAAATATTTGCCGCTACCTAGGATTGAATTTACAGCCTCCTGATTGTGAGGCGAGAGCTCCAACTTCTAGGCCACTGCACCACTCTGGGATTGCCAATACGGTCATGTGAAATTGCACTTTATGATTGCACTGCTTAGCGATGGAAATTCCAGTCTTATCTGCTGTGGTAGCTCAAGGACTATCTGTATAGGGACATACATAATGTGTCATTCCTGAGTATGAGGAACCTGTGGCCTTCCAGTTATTGATGAGCTGTCATTCCCAGTAGTTGTCACTAGTCATGTTGCCCGAGGCTACTAGAGCTGGCATTCAGCAAAATCTAGATAGCTTAACAGGTTTACCTGCAGCTAGAAAAACCTAAACTTATAAACACTTGTCAATATCTGTAAGACACAGTGAAATAATTTGCTTAAAAACTGCTCAACCCCCATATGCTTATTTAGTCAAAAACATATTACAGCAAAAATTGGCCAAGTAGCTTTGGGCATTGGCACAAAAAGGACTATAAAGACCAGGTGTTTTTGTATGTATGTATGTATGTATGTATGTATGTATGTATGTATGTATGTATGTATGTTCAAATCTGATTATTGGTTCTTTTTGCAAAAGAATAAGTGTATATTAAGTTTTTTTATTAACAATCTGATTTTTCATTCAGACCTAAAGTATTTTTTTTAGCTAACATATTGTAAGGCAGGCTTTAAAATGTAAGGGTTCAAAAACAGAAGAATAAGACACAGGAATACTGAATTTTCCCGGAAATAATACAGGACTAGATGTTGGCAATATTCGAAAGAAAAATGTGAGGTATTTATTTCAAAGCATTTCTGTATTCTTGCAACCTACAGTGTAATCATGTACAAAAGATACACTGAAGGATTTAACAAAGGACCGGCACAAGGTACGCCACAATCTTTAAAAATGTTGGAGCTAAGGACTGCCAGCAGTTAATCTGCTGACAAAGATACAACAGCAGAAACAGATGGGACTCATGGGAGGCAGAAGGAGGAGCTTACTTATGGCATAGCTTATATTTTTTTAAACTGCAGTTTTATCCCTTTCATAGCATATTGTTACAACCTACATCTCGTACAAAGTTATTCTGACCTATTATCTTCAGTGGAAGTGATGGGAAAAATGTATTTCATTTGTTCATGAACATAATACATGCCATGCAAAGCAAAGCAAAAGATACAACATAAATAAATTTGAGATACATATGAAACTCATTGTTCTGTGTCTACTCTTTATAAAGACGACAGATGCCAGATTTATCTGTAGTCCATTTTGTGCATTCTGGGAGAGAGTCCTATGACTAGCAATAGTGGACAGAACACACCTGACAGTTTCTCAATGCACTTTTCTCTATATACTGGTTCAAAGCAGCTGCATTTCTCTTGAATACTCATTCTTCCCTGTCATCCTCTGATACAAAAAAATAGGACCAGGTAGTTTCTTAGGAGGTAAATGGAATATAGCTTATGCTAGGCTGTAATTTAGGAACTAGACTAAGATGGGAGAAATATAAATTCAAGTCCATCTTAAGAAGACACATCAAGTATGAAGACACATCAAGTAACTTTGGGCCTTACCGGGTCCTCACAAGAATAAAATAGAATATTAAAGTACTATACTATAGGGGTGCAATAGTTGTTCTGTAAATATGTAGACAGTCACTAGAGAAAGGCAAAAAAAGAATTTTCTTCCATCTGGAGGTTGTCCAGATTTTTCTGCCAATATATTGCAACCCAAATGTACTATATATGAATTTTTGAAGAAAAAACAGGATATAAAGTGAACAATCAGTTGGCCCAAAGGGCTGGCTGGTTCAAGTAAGGGCTAAGGTACTGGTCCTACACTGGTTCAATGTAACTGTGTATCTTCTCTATCCTTTTCTGATATTATTTCTTATCTTGGATTTGAGTTAGGTTCTGCTATATTAATATATGAACATAAGTAGTTTTGCCAGCATTCCAATTTCTCCTGAAGGTGTTCAGTTTCTGGTAATCCCGAATAGTTCTTGAAGCAGTACAGCTGAGGAGGTTGACAAGCAAAGTCAACCAACCCATGATTTTCCAGTCTTTTCTGCCCCTCAAATTAGGAAATTCTCAGTGCAGCTTATTGTTTCACTATTTTGTTTAAGGCATATAAAAATATAAGTGGGCACATGCCTTCCCCTGCTTGAATGCCTACCACTACTTCCTGATTCCTTAATCTTAATAGCAGATCTCTGCAGCTTTCTTTCAAAAGAATGAGAGTTTACATTTCCATTTGTCATGTTTCCTCAATAGTTCTTTTGGTTGCTAGGCAAAAATATTTTTATTCTTGATGGGACAGGAATGCTTGAGGATATAGTATTGTGCAGCTTTTCCTTTCTTCTTCTAATGCGCTGAGTTCATGAAAAAATATATAAATATAGTATAAGGGAATTTAAAGTCGTCTTTGTAGGGATGGGAAGTATTACTTATGTGTTCTTGTTATTATGTAATATTGAACCCGATGAAGGCCCGTGATGTCATCTTGTGTTTTGTGAATATAGTGACAAAAATGTGCTACAGTTATACTTCTAATTTCCCTAGATCCATTCAAGATTAGTAGGCATGTGATTATTGTCACTAGAACAATTTCCATTGCAATCTTTCCAATGCCTTTGCAAACACTTCAGGCATTTCTGAGTCATTTTTATTTTTTTGTATTTTTTCCCTTTCCAGTATCAATATACACTGTATATAATGACCATTCTGATAGCAACACGACTCTAATTATAAAACAACATAAGCATGAGTGCAGGACTGCTCTATTAGTATACAACCAGCACTTTTGTACTGTTCCATAACTGCAATTTTACATTTAATGTGGCTGCTGAATTGCTGACAGAATGACCAATATATTCAAAGTAAACCGAATTTGGAAAGGAAATATATACTCTGTGTATGTGTATGTGTTTGTATAAACAGATAAGAAAACCAATTTTATGTGTTTAATTCAAAACCATGTCTCAGTAAGAAATTAAATTTCATATTATCATTAGTGCTTCGGCAATAAATACCTGAATTAACTAATGTTTCAAAACAAAATCATGTAGCATTATTTCTCAATGTATTTTGTTTCATAGGAAGTGAAGTGGGGAGGGTAATTAAAATCCAAGATTAATTTGTCAGTATTTAATTTGTCATGCGTGAAAGATTGCATCAAAGATCTCAAATGTACTATGACATTGTTCATTTTTGTCAATGCTGTATATTTATTTCTTGGGAACTCAAAATGATGCATTTCAAGATATCAAAAATGAAATCATAATAAATATTAATTCCAAATGTTAAATATATAGTTTTTAAATTCTCAAATTACAAAATATAAATATAACATGGGTATAACACACCATACATCACATTTAAAGTTCTATATTAAAAAATAACCTGTAAGGAAAAATCCTAAATTCTGTTTTGATATAGTCCAGACTTGTATAAAGAAATTGTAGCAATGACTTATTTGGGGGGGTCAAATAATTCTAAATACGCTGAGTTGGCATGACTTCCATCTCCAGAACTGTAATACCTGTCTCATGCTGCTGTTCTCCATTCATTTCCACAGCAATCTGGTAACACGCCTTGGGAACAGAAAGTAGAAAAACTCAACCCAGTCACTGTCTTGATCTCATCAGCATCCCAGTGTCTGCTTCTTCAAGCTTTGTGTTGAAGCAAAAACTGTGAAGAAAATTTAGAGGCACATTTTTATCCTTAAATCTACAGCTACATTTTGTTTCTTTCATTTCTGTAGAATTAGAACAAGCTCAGTCAGCACTTCTACTTGATTCTACGCCAAAATCTACTTTTTTCTAATACGGAGGTGATTTTGTTACAGAAATCTACAATGCTACAGACTATTATAAACAGGAGACTAAAATAATGACACAGGTTCACTTTTAAGGTATAAACTCATTTTGTCTCACTTTCAACTTCTTAAGTCCAATAAAATAAAAAGGCCCTAATTCATGAGAAACTTCTGTCACAGTTTAAATATCTGCAAATTTTGCAAACAATTCTAAATGTATTGTCCCTATCAAGTAGGAATACCCTAATATCAGCAATAGATAAACTGGGTGCCCTCGCGCGGGAAAGTTACTCCCCTTGAAACAGCGAGGCTGGCAGCGAGCTGTGGCTACAGGGAAAAAGCGACGATCAAAATATAGAAGAAAAAAAGCCTCCGTAGCACTTTGACAGCGCTACGAACCAAACCTGCCAGCACAAGTTGAAAAATTAGAAATCCAGCGTTTCTACTCAAAGATTTGCGAGCCAATCTTTTGCCATGTCACCATGGGGCAAGACTGAGTTGTGAACTGGGGAAAGTGACAGTTGACAAGGGGTATGGTAAAAGATTAAGGACTCAGTCTCCAGGCAGAAAGGCATGTGTCAAGCCATCCATGGATTCTCCAATCGACGTGCTGGAGAAATAGATTGCACTTTTAAATGAATAATATTTTGATTGAACCTTTGTTGAAGAGACTTAACATTCTTGTTAAAGAGCCACACATATTGGTGGGCACAATATTGATATATGCTTGTTAACTAGGTCTTCTGTATATTGTATGAAAACATCCACTGTTTTGACTTCAGAACCCAAAAGACTGCCGGAGAGGTTATATCAGCAACTGTTATTATGATAGTTGGCAAAACGCTCTAGGAATCGTATTATGTAATACTAGAGACATACTATTCCTTAAAAATAAGGCAATTATATTGATAAGTGGAAAATTACAAAATACATATTAAGACAATATACGTATGTTTATTTATTTATTTATTATATTTATGCCAAATAAAAGGGGCGTTGGTACTTACCTGACACACCCGCTCTCGGTGAGCTGCGACAAGCATCTGGAGAGTGGGAGGTGCTTAGTCTCTGCTCGGATAGGCTGGGCTTAATTGAATAGGACGCTGTTACTCCTCCCTGGCTCCTCCCTAGCGTTCCCCAGTTTTGGCGAAGATGAGGTGATGCAACCCCCATCCTCTATATTGGTCTGTTTGTGTGTTTTTTAAAAAACTTATATCCAGATTAGTCATTGGCTGGAACAGGACCCCACCAGACGGATATTGGGTGGGGTTGGATACTCGTTGCAGCTCACCGAGAATGGGCGTATCAGGTAAGTACCAACGCCCCTTCTCCACTGAGCTGCTCCGAGCATCCAGAGAGTGGGGCATACCAAAGCTTGGCTTGTCCTACGGGAGGGTCTCCGTCTGGGTTGGAGCCCCCACACTGTCCGAATGGACTTGTTGTAACACCCTTCTATCAAAAGAGGCTTCAGCAGAAGCAAATACATCAATTTTGTAATGCCTAATGAAAAGTGATGGGGAGACTCATGTTGCTACTCTACATATTTCTGCAATAGGAACTTGCGTGGCCCAGGCCACTGAAGTTGCCGCGCTCCTTGTTGAGTGGGCCGTGATGCCCCCAGGCACAGGCAGTGATTGAGTCTTGTATGACTTGGCTATCGTGGCCTTCAGCCACCTGCCTATAGTCGAAGGGGAAACTTTCTGCTCCTGAGAGGTTGGCTGAAAGGATATGAAAAGAGCTTCAATCTTTCTGAAGGGAGCTGTACTATGTAAGTAAGTATGTAGAGCTCTGCGGACATCCAGTTGGTGCCATTGATGCTCTATGCCCTGAGAGGGTCTGGGACAAAAGTTAGGGAGAACTAGTTCTTGTGACCTGTGGAAGGCAGAACTGACTTTAGGCGTGAATGTGGGGTCTGGTCGAAGCACCACTCTGTCAGCGTGGAATATACAGAGATCCTTCCGGGCCGATAGGGCTGCGATTTCTGATATACAACATGCTGATGTTATAGCCACGAGGAAAACAACCTTGTATGTGAGAAAATGGAGGCTAACGGTTTTCAGGGGTTCAAATGGACTCTTCGTGAGTGCTGTACCTTTTTAAGGTCCCAGGTCGGGTAACGATGCACCAGTGGTGGACACAAATTTGTGGTGCCCCTAAGAAAACTCTTTATCCGTGGGTGATGGGAGATAGATGGTAGACCCTTCCAAGTCACCACTGACTTTTCATATCCTTTGAGCCATTTGTCATCTTAAAGTGTTTGGAGAGAGGCCCCTGTCAAGACCATCTTGGAGAAACTCTAAAACTTGTGCAATTGACAGCGAAAATGGGTCCACCCTGGATTTGGTGCACCATTTGAAGAAGACAGTCCATGTGGCATTATATATGCGGCTCGTAGAAGGGCGCTGAGCCGCTTGAATGATATTAATCACCCTGGCCAAAAAATTCTCCTTTCTTAGATGTCGTCGCTCAACCTCCAAATAGCTAGGTGGAGCCATTGAGGGTCCGGGTGTTGGATCGGTCCTTGGGTGAGCTGAATTCTGTGCGGTGGAATTTTCCACGGTTCTTCTGTGGACAGGCCCCTGAGATTCACAAACCATGGCCTCCTAGTAGGGTGCCACCAAGATCAGGTCCGCTTTCTCGTCCAGTAGTTTTTGTGCCACTTTGTGTATCAATGGGAGGGGGGAAGACATATAGGAGACCCCTGGGCCACCAGCACAGGAGGGCGTTGATCTTCTCCGCCCCCTGGGATGGGTATCTTGAAAAGAATCTCGGGAGCTGCGAGTTCAGGGGAGAAGCGAACAGATCTATAACTGGCAGACCAAATCTATGGACTGCCTCCTGAAACAGGTCCGGATGCAGACGCCACTCTGATTGCTTGATCGTGGCCCTGCTTAGCCAGTCTACCTGGGTGTTTGTCAGGCCGGAAATATGCTCCGCTCTGATAGAGGCTAAGTTCCTTTCCGCCTAAAGGCACAGTCTCTCTGCTTCCCACATGAGATGTTTTGAGTGGGTCCCCCCTTGTCTGTTGATATGTGCTTTTGTTGTGACATTGTCTGTCAGCATTAGTATGTGTCTCCTTTGAATATGTGGGAGGAAACTGCGAAGGGCCAGGTGGACTGCCCTGAGCTCCAACCAATTTGTGCTGTTCGATTGCTCTGCAGTTGACCAATGCCCTTGAGCCGAGAGGGACTGGAAATGAGCTCCCCATCCGAACAGGCTGGCATCCATGGTTATGGTGAGTCTTTGGGGGTCTTTCAGCAGGCAACCCTTGTTGATGGCTGGAGCCGTCCACCAGTGTAGAGATAGCCGGACTTTTGTAGGAACTAACACTGGTCCTGGAATTGCTTAGTCCTGATCTTTGGAACGGAAGCAGATACCATTGGAGCGATCTAGTGTGGAATCGAGCCCAAGGAACAATACAAATACAGGAAATCATTTTTCCCAGCAGTTTAGACAAATTGGCAAGAAGAACCCATTTGAGGGTTCTGATAGACTGAGCTAAGGTTTTAATGCTCTCCTGTCTCTCAGGGAATAGAAACACTCTTCCTTCTACTGTGTCTATTATTGAGCCCAGGTGAGATAAACAAATGGCTCTTGGCCCAATTAATTGAAAAAAGCATGTTGTTGAAGGGTTCGTAATCTAATTTGGGTATCCAATTCTGCCTGCCTGGATGAGGAGGACAAAATCAAAATGTCATCCAGGTAGCACTGGAGCCTAACTGGAGTGCTCCTAAGGTGTGCGGCCAGAGCTGCCAGAACCTTTGTAAAGGTCCTCGGGGCTGATGACAACCCAAAGGGCAGGGCGATGTATTTAAAATGTTGGTTGTTGTAGCAGAATCTGAGAAATTTGGAATGTGAAGGTCTAATTGGTATGTGAAGATAAGCCTCTGTTAAATCGCTGGAAGTCAAAAAATCACCCTTTCTTATGCTAAGGAGAATGGATTAACATACTCATCTTGAATTTGCAGTAGACTAGAGTACGCTAGAGACGTTTTAAATCTACGATTGCCCTCCACCCCCCGAACTCTTGGGACCTACAAAAAGTAGGGAACATAATCCATGTCCATGTTGATCCCGGAGTACTGGTTGGATGGCCTTCATTTCTAGTAAGTGATTAATCATTGTCTCCATCAGTTTCCTTTTAACTGGATCTCGGGAGATATTCATGGAAAAGTTCGGGGGTGTGGAGGAGAACTCTAGAGACAGACCAAATCTGATGGTGTTGCGAACCCAGGAATCCGATGTGGAAGAGTCCCATTGGTCTGCAAAGAGACTTAATCATCCTCCAATGGGAGCGAGATCCCTGTATTTCTGTTTCCAATTCCCCTGAAAAATCGCTTCGCTTGTCCACCCCTGCGAGGTCTGTCAGAGAATTCTGATCTATCTGACTGCTGGGCTCCCCTATATGTCGGTGGTCTCTGGAATCTGGGGGAGAATGGGCCTTGATAATAGGGACAAAAGGAGCCTCTCTGAAAGGGCTGAAAAACTCTGCTGTCAGAGTGAAGAATGGAGGGAAGGATCTTCTTGCTTCTGATCTCAATTAGAAGTGGATCCAGGGCAGCGCCAAACAATTTTTGGGGAAATTGGGGAAGAGGCAAGTTTCCATTTGTGTTTGATATCAGCTTGCCAATGTCTAAGCCATAGTAACCGGCGGGCTGTAACCTGCGATGCCATGGCTCAAGCTGAAAACTTGACTGAATTAAATGTAGCATCTGCAGAAAACTCTGCGGCCACAATTAATTTGGCGATGTCCTGGTATGCCCTAACATTAGAATTTGGTATAGTGTCCCTCAGGTGACGTAGCCATTTGAGTGAGGTTCTGGTGAAGGACGCGGCTGTTGTCACCCTTATTGCCCATGCATCAGACTGATGT